CCACTCGATAAGCATAAAAACATTGAATATACTCTTTCCAACATAAATCCATATATCTCAAAAACATCTTTATAGCGTGTAGTCATCCATCATATATACTCTAAGGGTGCGTTTGGTACGTGGGACGGGACGGGACGGAAAGGGACGAGGCGTTCCGTCCCGCGTTTGGTGCGTTCTCTATTAATAAATTTTGTTTTTGTAATCTTGGTGTCTTTTCCATTCGTTTTATCATTTTTATTTTTTGATGTTGTTTTTTTTGTGGTCGTCCTATTTTTTCCTCTCCCTTTTTTCCTCTTTTTCTTGTTAACGTGTGTTTTTTTCGCACTCTTTTTGTTGGAATCCCTTATTTTCTATGTTTTTACTCTTTATTTTTATTATGTTTTATTCTATATATTATTTTTTCCTACTTTTTCTCGAGTTTATTTTATACTGTTTATGGCAAAATAGTTTTATCATATGTTATTCTGTGATTCTATCGAGTGTCCGTACGCCGCGATATTCTGGTGCTCAGGATATCACCGCTTCTAGCGGAGATCCGACGTCAGCTAGGCGTTCCTGTCCGTACCAAACGAGCGAATACGTAGATAGAAGACAGAAATAGTGCAGACCATGCTAGAGGGAAGTCTGAGGATTTCGATTTCTGGAATTCACTTACAATTGTGAATCAACTGCAAGATAATTCAGCCTGGAAACTAACTATGAGCAGCACTCGTGCGAACTTGAAGGAGCAGCATATCAGAGTTAAGATTGTGCAATATAGAGGAGTGCACAAAAGCATTAAGATATACATTACATAGCGAGCTCAACGTGAATGGGTCTAGAGGTTGCAACAAGTTTCTAACACGAGAGAACAGTGAACAAGCCTAGATTCTATAAGTTGAGATTCACATGCACACGCTCAAAGACCATAACGACACAATGGGTCACCGTTGCACACAGTATATAGATAATAACAGACTTAAGGACACTCTTCACACAAGAGATGAAGGGTGAGCGGCCACGCGAGATATGTGATCTCAGTAAATTGAAGCAGTACACGAAGAGGGTGTAGTAGGTTGAGTGAGCCGTTGATTATGTGTCGCACTTCTTAGAGTTTTCGCCCATTCTACTTCTCCACTATTCTTGATGACCTCGCGCTATTATTAATATTAAGTGCGCGACCGCGTGACGGTAATTTCAGTGCGGAGAGTGTAGAGAGAACACGAGAAATGGGTAAGAGGACGAAGTTGACACGCCGTAAACGGCCAGTGCGTCGAGCGAGGTTATTTTAAAAGGCGTAGCATGGAACGCATAGCAGAAGCACTGACGAGCGGACGACAGTATGGAGGATTGAATTGGTGCAATATATGAAATTAATGAGCATATATGGACTTGAGTCAGGTGACGGGAGACATAGACAGATGGAGGAGAAGAGTAATGATTATTAATGTGGACTCGAAGAGGGAGCATTACTGGTGAGGTCATTCAGACCACGGGTGCAGCAGATTGCAGACACACATGTTTATTCCGCCGCCCGGTCCGGGTTGGAGCGTAACGATATAGCATAAATCTTCGGCAGCAGTGAAGTAAGATTTATGGCGAAATCTGATAATGCGAACATAGTGACGAGGTTATATCTCTACGTATCAATCTGCAGAGGTATGTAAATAGATAATTAAATAGGAGTACAGTATTGAGTCTATGTGACAGGGTACGATCACATATACAGTAGCCTTAAACAAGTATGTATTTGGTACGGACCGAGGTTGAAGTTAAGAGGGTAGATTACATTATAATATTTAACTCTTAATTTAAATTCATATGTGTAGATTTTGTTTATTAGTTTTTACTTATGTATTATAAGAACCTTTAGTATCTCTCACAAATTTTTCAGAGTTATCAGTTTGCTATTTTAGTCATTGTTACGCATTATTATATTTTATTCTAAATTATACCAATATTTTTGTCGCAGTTGATTTTATTATATATCTCGTAGAATAACAGCGTCGATTTCTCAATAGTGATAGTAGAGATTGTTGTCAACTATATTATAGGTCAGTCACTATTAGGCACATTTATATAAAGTCACTACCTTAGAAACAGAATAGCATGAGCATAATGATTAGTGAGACTATTCCTGTGATTAAATCGGAATCAGAGATGTACACATAAAAATAACAATCCAAAACAAAAACAAAAGGAGAGCTGGTTATAGCTCTATCATCCAACACCATTTCGGTTAATTATAGCACAATGTTATATTTCTACATATTACACAAGACACACTACGTATTCATGACACTACCTCAAAGTCTTTAGACTGTCCACAGAGAGAATACAATTGGAGCAGAGAGGTATCGGAAGATAAGACAACAAATCATCAAAGACTGTATGTTACTAGAGGGCAGGAGGAGGATGACTAGCGCACCACTTGATAGTTGTTTTGGAGTAACTCTGTGGCCCACGATAGATCTATTATAGTAATATACGAGAGAGCAAGTCCTAAGAGTGGTGCACGGAAAGACTTTTAGAGATAGAGACTTGCTAGTATAGGATGACGTGCAGATAATCGACATTTTTATGGATAAAATCTATATAGATCTATCTGCGATACATCTCTTCAGAGTGTATGCACAAATGAGAATATGTAGAACTTACTAATTTTGATAAAAGTCAATATAATATGTATAAGTTCATACATTTTCTCGTATATATGGATTCTTATACAACAGTCACTGGTAGAGTAAGGCCATTCACTAATACAAACATTCGATGTCAAACGTAGACGTAGAGTTGGCGTCGATTGCGTAAACCGAACGCTGAGGCATCTTTTTAATCTCCAGATGTAGGCTTTTATTTTATTTCGATGTTCATGTTACGTAAGTGTTTGGTTCTTAAAAAGCACCACACAGCGATAAAAGTAATTTCTGACACTTCTGGAAACGAAGGCATATTTTTATTACAATTAGGTTCACCCAGGGCACCTTCTATATGCGAGTTCTCGACGCTCACGGACACACTACGTATCAGTGCACAGCGAGACCACAACACGATCCATACGCCACCACAATGCACGTTTATTCGGACTGATGGAACATACTTACTCATCACATAATGATCTAATATGATTTCGAGTTCATATCTCGAGCTTATATATTTGTAGATATAGTACACATTCTAAGACTAACAGGATAGTTCAACACACCGCATACTAGTATACATATTCAAACCCATACGATAAATCATCTATTATACAAGGGTAGTAAAGTTAGTTAAGTGTGGAGGTGAACGCAGCCATTGTGCTCGGCTTTACACACATAGCATACAACTCAATCTCATTCAATCATCTATAATACATTACACTTGACTTACACTCGATTATGTTCAGGCTCAACTCGAAGAGATATATCAATCTATAAGTTTTGAGAGAAACATTCTATACATTCATAATTGTCTTATATAGCTTGACAGTTTGACTAGGCATCAAAATTTATCGCATAACTAATTACATGTATGTTTATACTATATATAACAGAGCAGCGAGAGCACGAGGAGAAAGTTCGGCGACACATAGGAGCGGAGCAGATTTACTCACATATCACGACCTTCAAGTTCTTTTTATTACCACACGGTAGACACTTGACGATCTCACCACAGATATGTCATTTCCCACTCCACGAAGTTTAGATATAAGGAAAGTATACCTCACTCTCTTATGCCTTCCTCAATTTATCAGGTATCCCTCTACACATTGGCGGATCACCGTGTGCCTTCATGCTCTGTATATGTTCGAATACGTTTTACCCATAGAGTAAATCTGGTGTAACTATCTATCTCCTGATTACCACATTTTCATCCACACACATATCACTCTTTCACTCAGATATTTATACATGGGCATGGAATGATGTAGTCTATGAGAGGGAACTCAGAGGAGAGGAGTAGGGAGATACACACACTCACCATATTCAATCTTATCTTTCACACGTATAAGTCATTAGTGACGCGGAGGAGGCAGAAATAAGCAGATATTATATATTATACCAGTATCACATCAACTCGAATAGGGATGAATTAATTCATCTAATATTTATTCCACTCATCCTTTTCTCAGCACACTCCTCATCTATCATCGTTCACATCGTTGATCACACATTCCACGATCTATTCATATGACTGACCATGATGACAGCTAGTATCTCGGTAAGTAGTCCGAGATATATTCAGAGTCATATAAGGTGTGACGCGAGTATCATACATGCTGAGATGCTACACGCGTTGTTCCGATAGGGAAGTATTATTCTATCCTATTACTAGGCATATAATGCCCATTGGTGATCAGCTCTTATTTAATATGCGCTAAGCCTAAGGGATTGAGGACAATCGATGTTTTGCGAAGGAAATTCTAACATCTTTTACTGGGAGAGACACTGCACCTTATGCACGATAAGAGTATGTACAGGAGTTTTCATAGAGAGAGAGAGAGAAATCTGCTCGTGTTCAGTTATATTATTTTTCTATTTATCCTATTGGATCTAAATTTGAATTATAGGGCGAGAGAGATAAGGTTTCTTCTGATTATTCAGATGTGATTATATTCACATACTATTATAGATAATAATAAGTGTCTCCATATTATAGATGATCCAAAAATTCCTCGATTCTCTAAGTTTATGCTTTCTCCTAATTGGAGAGTTGAACAATCTCATATCCGAACTTGTTTATGTCTATAAACAGTGTTATCGATCGCTATTTATATATACAACCCGAGCAGAAAGAAAGACTGTTTACAATTCACATGAAATGAGAGGGCACAATTACGTACGAACAAACCCCAAGTAAAGTCCTATATTCCATTTATAGCGTACCACATCTCCTCAGGTGCCCCCGCTGGCAGAAACAATCAGATTGAGTGATAAAATACTTCCTAGTGCACATATATCATGATATGATCGGCACGAAAAGAGAATTTAGAGAGGGATATATAGAGAGATATATATATAGAGAGATGGTCGAGAGGATCATGGTGTCCGCTTCTCGAGAGAGTCATAGACAGAGCTGGCAGGAGTGGATGTTCCAACTAGACAAGGAAGTGGTCTTCCTGATTAGTAGATTAATAGAATTAAAGGTATAAACTATCTTTGATTACTATTCTATGATATTGCAACACTATTCTACAAGATATCAGTGGAGTAATACCAGGCAGATCGAATATATATGATGTAGAGATTAAGGGTTCATAAGAATAAATGAATTATATTTTTAGAGGCACGTTTCGCAATTTGTTGTTGTTCGGTCCTTGGTATTAAATTCTTTATAAGACGACAGCGGACACACTAGTGGAAGTATTCCGAGGTTCTTATCTTCTCCATATCAAGATTGATAGACTGGGAACCTATGTGAAAAGGCTCGCCATGTGATTACTGACTGCGCCGATACGTCGGCCAGCAATGCAGGGCACATGGAATCGAGCAGATATTTGCGTGGCGAGGAGAGAGAGAGCATATCGGGGGCACCGCCATAACAGGCTTGAGTATCATAGATACAAGAGATCTAAAAACAGGTATATAACCCTACACTCGACCACTCGTAATCGGAGAACTGCGAATGAGGGAGACACGAAAGCACACAGATAACAGCTACCTGTACATACCGATGTTTGAGAGACCTACTGCGAGAATATAGTTGCCGAGTCCGTCATGTTTTTTAGTTCAGTAGGGAGAGCCAATTAACACTTGAGCAATTAACAATCAAAGGGAAGGAACCATAAGATCAAAAAAGAAACCCCGTCACCCACACCTTCCATTGACTGTCTCTTTGGTGCGATGCAGTTGTATATTGCCTGAAATTGGATGTACAGTGCCCTTCATCTACACAAATCTGACTATAGAGATACACTTCCGTCCACATTAATGTTACGATATATTATATGACGGACAGTGCTAGAGAGACACGAATAAATTAATAGGATAGTCAGTGAAAAAATCTATATCGAACCACACGACCGGTTCCAAAATCTTTTGCAAGAACGTTGTTCGGAGATAGCAAAATTTGTATAGGTATTGGTAACATATTTGTAAGAAATTGAGTAGAGATCCTATCTGGTAAATCTTACTTATTAGGTAGCATACACGATGGATAGAAAATATTTGATTTTCTCTATTAAATATATATGACACGCTTGTTGCACGGTTAAATTATAGAGTGTGTCTGTATGTCACTTTTTATTATTATGAGAGAGGAGAAGCTTATGATTAAGATTAATTGATAGATATTTTGACGAGAGAAACCATGGATATTCTGATATAGTTCATTATCGAACAATATTAGCTGGAATAAGCACGCAGCGCGACGGAAATGAAGTGCAATATTTCTCAGCAGTGTACTATATATATATTATATCTCTGTATCATTTTGATCCATGAGGCACAAAGATATACGAACTTTGGATTGAGAGATGAAAACAGAGTCTTTAAGCGCGCCAGCGAGCATGGTTATCTGAGCATGTCATATAGTTTTTCAAGTTCATAGTAGTACTATATCCATTGCGCTTACTCTCAATTTTTCAATAAAGTATATCTATCAGGGTTCTCGTTATTATTTTCTGTTTTTATATTATATTATTTAAAATCTCTCGTATTTGAGCATAGGCACACACACATAGACAAAGGCTTATTGAATGGCACTTGGACTGCCCAGCAATAGCAAGGCTGAGGCAGGGCCACAGTTCACAAGCACAGCCATTAAGTTGTGCCTTCTTGGCAGCATACACGCGAGATTTAATGATAAAAATTAACCGAATTTAAAACCACGGCCTTAAAACATATATTATATTTACATTCAAATTGTACTTCGTATTAGTTTGACACCAAACGAAAAACACCAAGAACACGAACCTGGAATAGAGTAATGAAAGGCATCTATTACGTGATCTCGGTTTTTCATGAGGTAGGCAGCTTGACCAGAGTAGGCTAAAAGAAGGCAAGGAAATACAACTACAGTGAAAGCAATCTGTATGGACAGGACTGGGAAATGCGATACATCGGCAAAAAGTGTTTCGGTTCCTGTAAATGGTTCAAAAGCGGTAGTCAGACTATTGATCAGAATAAAGAAGATGGATCAACTGCCATAACAGCATAAAGAATTTTTACCGTTTATACAAAGCACGATACCACCTAGCGATGCCCACCCAGTTATACCTCCCTTCTTAAAGTATACATACACATACATGGGTGAAAAAGCTTTCAAAACGCTAGTATCATATTTCCAGATGTTGAAGATGCCGATTCCTCCAATTACGAGAAACCAAAGGAGCACAACTGGTGCAAACAGCCAACCAACTTTCTCCGGACCAAATTGTTGCACGATAAACAAAAGTACCAGTATACCAACAGAAACAAGTACAACTACGTCTGTATATAAAAATATGTAATCAGATTTGGAACATTGATAGATTCAATAACAGAAAGGATGAAGCAAATAAAAGACGGACTTTACATCCAGGAGCATGAAGATACCATTACTAATCTGGGACCGTCCCGCATTGATCCCACCGACCGCTGACAGAACTGTTAAAGATAGTATGGTTAAGCATTACATATACTGATCAAATAGAATATGGTTTAGCAGCTTTCAATGGAACTGAGAAAGAATCATACTCACCTCATTTATATTAAAGAAAACACTAAGGCCTCGTGCAAATTGAACTCAATGGAAACAAGGCCTTAATTGTTGGAATTCATGTTAGCATACAGACTATGATCTTGTATGAGTGTTTCAATCAATTTATAAATACTGAAGAAAGGAAGAGAGTAAGAAATCTAGAGAGAGAGTGAGAGAATTCAGCTTGAGGAAGAAGAAACGAACTCTGCACACTGTTACATTCATTCGCACACACTTAGCACATGTAGCAAGAGGAAATATTAATTAATCTAAGATTACATCTTAGCTGCACACTTGGACTATGATCCAAGGGCTGATATTTAAAACTGACTTCTTATTATATTTCAGCAAATACACTTATAAACTAACACTCCCTTCTAAGTGATGTGCTGAAAATCACTCCCAAAGCTGTCCTCAGTAGTACTTCAAATCGATCCCTTGCCAAAAGCTTTAGTGAATATATCTGCAACCTGCTCTTCAGTCTTGCAGTATACCAGATCAATCTCACCATCTTGAAGTGCATCTCGGATCAAATGAAATTTCCGATTAATGTGCCTGGTTTTGTGATGATGGACTGGATTCTTTGATATGGCAATTGCTGAAGTATTATCACACAGCAACTTAGTTGGTTCTGCTTGTTCTTCCCCGAAATCAGAGAGTACAAATCTTAGCCAAATGGCCTGTGCAGTAGCTTCTGCTGCACTGATGTATTCTGCCTCTGCAGTTGAAAGAGCAACACTGCTTTGTTTGATTGAGGCCCAAGAAAAACACACCCAGAACCAAGATTGAATGCATAGCCAGATGTACTCCTCATATCAATCTTCACTTCCACTCCAATCACTATCACAATAACCAACCACAACACTGCTCCTTTTCCCTTTCATAGACCACTCCATAGTTCACAGTGCCTTGTATGTATCCTCAGAACTCTCTTAGCTGTCCCCATATGCTTCTTGGTAGGATTGTGCATAAACCTAGCCAATAAGCTTGCTGCAAACATAATATCTGGCCTTGTTGCTGTCAAATATAGCAAACTTCCCACCATTGTCTCTATATAAAGTCTCATCTGCCAGATCACTTCCATCTACTTTTGTAAGTTTTTCATTCATAGCTAATGGTGTTGCAACCGGCTTACAATCCCTAAGTCCAAATTTCTCAAGCAAAGTCTTTGCATATTTCTTTTGATGCAAGAAGATGTAATTATCTGTTTGCAATACCCCAAGACCAAGGAAATGATGAAGTAATCCTAGATCAGTCATCTCATATTGTCTCATCATCTCACCTTTAAACTCAGCTATCATCTCCTTTGAACTCACTGTGTAAATAATATCATCTACATACAGTGACACAATAAGAATGCCACTGTGAGATGTCTTGATATAAAGAGTAGATTCACTCGGACTTCTGTGGAATCCAGCCTTTGCAAAATAGGAATTTATTTCTTCATACCAAGCTCTTGGAGCTTGTTTCAAACCATATAAAGCTTTCCTGAGCCTGTACACTTTGTCTTCCTTGCCCTGTATAACAAAACCAGATGGTTGATCCACATACACCTCTTCATTCAACACTCCATTTAGAAATGCAGACTTTACATCTAACTGAAATAATTTCCATCCTTTCTGTGCAGCAAGGGCCACCAAGGTTCTCACAGTATCAAGTCTTGCCACAGGTGCAAAAGTTTCATTGAAATCGATTCCAGGCTTCTGAGAGTACCCCTTTGCAACCAATCGTGCTTTGTTTTTCTGCACTGAAACCATCCAGATTTAGTTTTGTTTTATAAACCCATTTGACTCCAATGATTGGTTTATCAAATGGTCTATCAACAAGATCCCAAGTATGATTCTTCTCAATCATAGAGATTTCATCTTCCATAGCCTTCTGCCATGATTCATCCTTGGCAGCCTCTTCAAAACATTCGGGTTCTATTATGCACAGATTACACTTTTCATATATTTCTGCAATGTTTCTGTACTTGAGAGGAGTGTGATCAAAAATCCTGTGGACCTGTCACTCTTTCTTGATCAGATAGCTCAGTAACTAAATCTGACCCAACATTCTCTTCACTGACTTCACATTGTGTTTCAGAATCACAAGCACTTCCTTCACAGTTTTGTTCTCCTGCAGACATTTCAATGATCTGGATACTCTCCCTTCTTTCCTTCTGTGCATTCCAATCCCAACATGCTTCTTCATTAAACACAACATCTCTGGAAATAGTCACCTTTCCAGATTCAATGTTATACAGTCTATATCCCTTCTCACAACTACCATATCCCAAGAAAATACACCTCTTGCTTGCCAAATCGAGTTTTTGTCTCTGTTGACTTGGTACATGAGCATAACACATAGAACCAAACACTTTTAGATGCTTAATTCCTGGTTTTCTCCCACTGTAAGCTTCAAAATGTGTCTTCTTATGTAAGGCTTTGGTTGGACATCTATTCAGAATATACACTGAGGTATTAACTGCCTCAGCCCAAAATTCAAATGGAATGTCCTTTTCCAACATAAGACACTTAGCCATTTCCACAATGGTTCTGTTCTTTCGCTCTGCCACACCGTTTTGCTGTGGTGTGTATGGAGTGGTAAGTTGTCTTTCCATGCCTACATCTTCAACAAACTTGTTAAACTCCATTGAAGTGTATTCACCTCCTCGATCACTCCTAAGCTTTTTCAGATTATAACCACTCTGTAATTCCACAGTGACTTTGAACTTTTTAAACACACTGAGAACTTCAGATTTATGCCTTAAAAAATACACCCAACACATTCGGGTACAATCATCTATGAAAGTAAGAAAATATCTATTTCCAGCTTTTGTAGTTGTCTGCATTGGACCACAAATGTCACTATGCACAAGCTCTAGAGGAATTGCAGCTCTAGTATTAGCTTCCTTTGGAAATGCTTCTCTACATTGTTTGCCGAGAACACACCCTTCACATACTCCTTTAGCTACTTTGATTTCTGGTAATCCTACTACCATTTCTTGTTCCTGCATCAATTTCAAACTGCTCATGTTTAGGTGTCCCAACCTTTTATGCCACATAGTAGTAGAAGCACATACATTTGCCTTGAAAGCAATATGTATTCCAGTCTGTAATTTCATTGGAAAACTTCGATTTCCCTTCATTGGAACTTTAGCAACCATGTTGGAATATGAACTGTCATCATAGATTTCCACCTTGTGACCTCCAAACACCAAATAATAACCGTGCTCCATCATTTGACCCACACTGAGCAAATTTTCCTTCAGTCCAGGCACAAGCATAACCTCCTTGATATATCTCTTGCCTAGTTTAGTTTCAACTACAAGACTCCCTTTACCAGTTACATCAACAAGCTGTCCAGTACCCATTTCAACTTTTGCAGTTACATTCCTATCAATATCCACAAGTAAATCCTCCCTTCCAGTCATATGATTGCTACACCCACTATCTACATACCATACATCATCACAGTCCTTTACACTAGTAAAAGTTTGATTACTAGCATAAAACATGGTGGGTGTAGATTCTACCTTGTTTGCATAATTGAGCTGTTGCACTGGTTTCTTGCTATTACAATCCCTTGCAATATGACCAAACTTATCACAGTTATAACATTTTGGATTACCCTTGAATCGGCATTCACCAAAATGTAGCTTATCACAATGTTTACAAGGATTTCTAGCACCATCAGTGGGTTTGTTATCCCACCTCTTCCCTTTTTCTTTCCAATTCTTATGATACCTTGCACTTTGATTTCCTGTGAATTTAGCTGGTTTGGGATTTACATTGAGACTAGCAAATGCTTTCTCAGTTTTGTGCTCAGAATGTCTATCTAGACGTAGCTCAAAACTCTTCAAGGAAGCCACAACTTCCTGTACCTCAATCACATCCAAATCCTTCGAATGTTCAATAACAGAGCATATAGAGTCATAAACTGATGGCAAACTAATCAATAACTTTTGAACAATCCTCTCTCGAGATAACTCCTCTCCATAACTCCGCATTTGATTTATCAGATCAAATAATTTTGTAAGATAAACAGAAAGTGATTCATCATCTCGCATTCTTGTATATTCAAATTCCCTACGAAGACCTTGCAATTTAACATTTCTAACCTGTTTATCACCATGATACTCTTGTTGCAGAGTATCCCATGCGCCTTTTGAGGTTTCTTCATAAGAAATTCTGGGAAAGATCTCATCCGAAACAGCTCCTTGAATCAGACCCAGAGCTTTAGCATCTTTCATCAGTCTCTCAGCTAGAGGTAGCTTCTCAATACTACTCGATTCCTCCTTTTCTTTCTTCTTTCCATCAGATTCACCATCATCCTTCGAATCTGAACTCTCGAAACCTTTCTCAACCAGATCCCACAATCCGTGAGATTTGAAAATCGTTTTCATCTTAATACTCCAGAACTCATAATTATCACCTTTGAAAATCGGTGTTCTCACCTCACTACTACCCGATCCTGCCATGTTAGACTCAGATCACAATCGACGATTTCTGGGTAACACTCTTCACAGATCCAAACGCCCAGTATCAATTGATCAAACCTGGCTCTGAGGCCATGTTAGCATACAGACTATGATCTTGTATGAGTGTTTCAATCAATTTATAAATACTGAAGAAAGGAAGAGAGTAAGAAATCTAGAGAGAGAGTGAGAGAATTCAGCTTGAGGAAGAAGAAACGAACTCTGCACACTGTTACATTCATTCGCACACACTTAGCACATGTAGCAAGAAGAAATATTAATTAATTAATCTAAGATTACATCTTAGCTGCACACTTGGACTATGATCCAAGGGCTGATATTTAAAACTGACTTCTTATTATATTTCAGCAAATACACTTATAAACTAACAATTCATTAGGTTTATTTAGGAAATTAATTAGAGATTTGATTTGATTTTGTAATAGGGTATTTTTGGCATTTAAGCATTAGGGTTTCTTAGGTTTATTGCTCTATAAATAGAGCTTGTAATTTAGTTTGAGAACAAGTAATTCACAATGTAGCCTCTTAGGGTTTTGTAGCCGTTTCGGCATTCTCGTTTGTTTAATAATATTCTTATTATTTTGTTAGTCTTGTTTGTTGCGCACTCTGATATTCAACTTGGTATCAGAGCAGGTTTGATCCTTCGGGATTTAATCTGCTTCTGTTTGCTCGTATCAGTTTGATATCATTTTGCTGTCCTGTCTAGTTTAGGTTCGAGAAAATTGTTTTTTTTTCTGGTTTGGTTTTGGGATCTTGTTTCTGCCTTGATTGGTTTAGACTGTTTATTTGTGGGTAGTTTGATATAAAAAAAAAAAAAAAAAAGTAAAACTAGAGTCTCGCCGCCGCATGCTGCATGGAGACCTATCCGTCTCACCGCCTGTGTGGAATCTGCATCAGAACCATAACATGCACCACCATCTCCGCTGCTACATCCATTGGTCCACGATCAACCAGCCCTTCCCGCACCAGACCTGCCGCACACTACCGTTGATGCTCGACCTGAGAACACCAAACTCGGATCGAGTTCGTCCTCACCTTGTACTCCGCTGCTCTGATTGCATCTCACCAGCCACCTCACCACATCGTTTCCTGCACTGTATCCGCACCCTCTGCACCTCGCGCGTTTTGCACTAGAGTTCCTGCGCATGTTTGCACAGAAAGGGAAAGGAGGAAGATGGGGAAAAGAAGAAGAAAAGAAAAAAAAGGAAGCCCCACACGGGCAAGGAAAAAAAAAGGCTTTTGGTTAGAAGTTTTGGGGCCCACGTATTGTTGTTTTTGGGCTTGTATCTCTAGCTTGTTGTTGCCTTCTACAATGATCATTCGAGTGCTTGGATTGGTAACCACTCGAATAACGTTGTGTACATGGTGAATTGGAATTTTTGCTTGTTTGTTTAGGTTTGTTCGGAAGTTGGAAACCTTGCACTGGCATTGGCATGGAAATCTTGCATTGGCATTGGCATGGAATCTTGCACTGGCACTGGCATGGAAATCTTGCACTGGCACTGACATTGGAATTTGGAATCTTGCACTTGCACCGATAGAATTTCGTATTGAAATTGGCATGGGAAGTTAGCATAACAAAGCTTGCATCCACATCGTCTGTTGGCAAACTCATGTCGTATACCGCCATGAGTTTGGCAAACTCATGTCGTATACCGCCATGAGTTTGACGGGGGGTGTTGGAATTCATTAGGTTTATTTAGGAAATTAATTAGAGATTTGATTTGATTTTGTAATAGGGTATTTTTGGCATTTAAGCATTAGGGTTTCTTAGGTTTATTGCTCTATAAATAGAGCTTGTAATTTAGTTTGAGAACAAGTAATTCACAATGTAGCCTCTTAGGGTTTTGTAGTCGTTTCGGCATTCTCGTTCGTTTAATAATATTCTTATTATTTTGTTAGTCTTGTTTGTTGCGCACTCTGATATTCAACTTTAATGTCCCTAGACAAATTGCACAAAAAACCGATATGAAAGCGAGTTATACAAATAAAGCTCGCACAAAATCAACTCAAAGTTCCTCCTGAATTTAGACAAATTGATCGCTAAGGGATACCCCTGAAGATGTCCCTAGAAAAGTTTGAAATTTCATCCGTATAACTCGCTTTCATATTGGTTTTTATGCAACGAAAATGTGATTGGCAGAAGTTGTGCAGATAGTTACAGAAAGTGAATAACATATTCAACTTAGGAGCATATGCTCAATATAATGGCAACATGAATATCGTTGGAGACAAGAAGTTCTCGGCTGTTGACCTGGCTTATCCAATCACTTGTTCATTTTATACTTGCCTGATCTCATTTATTTTCTTGTGTAACCTACTCACTTTCAATATGTCGAAAAAGATCTGAATCTGTAAGCAGATTAAAAACATACTTAGACAGAAGATTGATCCTACTACATGAAGATAGTATACCTGATATGGCTGGAGTAAGAATCCCATCCCCTATCACAGCGCAAGAGCCAACCAGGACAAGAATAAGAAGTATGTTCCGCATGACTGCATGTCCTTCCAACCATCGCTTGGTGCATTCAGAAAATGATTTCTCACCAAATGTAGAACGGCTAAATGTTGTTAGCTCCTCATCACTTTGGTCTTGGTTAGGAACGGTCTTTATTTTTGCATGTCGACAGAGTAATGAATAAAGAGCAAATGTTCCACCTGCAGCCACAAGGAGGATAAGATTACAGGAACTAAATGCTGGTAGAAACAAACAGAGGAATTTGCCTCATTCGGAAGGAATGTATATCGGAAAACTGCATGTTTCAGTATACTAGTATCAGATCAGAAGTATATATAGCAAAGGATGCATGATATTGGTCCAACGTTTCTATTATGTAGGTGCGTTGTACACATTTACGTAAAGTTTCTACACTAAACTTTGGTCTGCCTCCCTCTCCCCTACCAACTTTCTCCTCCCCCTTTCTAATTCACCAAACCTTCGGGAAGAAAACCTTCCATCAATTCTTCCCAAGTGAAACAAAAATAAGAACCACCAATCAACCCTAAGAGGACGAAGAGGAAACGAGTAAATGAACTGCACGGTTGGGGCAACATTAAACAGCTGAACAAGGTCGAAAAACCATCCATAATCTTTTATATAAATCAGCATAGTTAGATTTAGATCAATTATCTGAGCACTTCTTCAAGTATTACCAACTAGTAAAGTGAATTTATCGGTTGCGATCAGTTTACCTTGACCGTTGTCATTCGCTCTACAGACAATAAGAACATACTTCACGAGTACGATAAGAGTGAGGGAATATATGATGACCGATAAAGCTCCGAGTAAATCTTCCGGGGCATCGATTCCTGCAGGAAATATATTTTTGAAAACATACAAAGGGGATGTGCCCAAATCTCCATAGACCACACCAAGGCTTTGAAATGCAAGCTGTAGAACCGTTCCCACTGAACAATACGTCTGAAGTAAACAAAGAGCAATCAGAAACAGGACCAAAGCTAGTCCTAAAAAACACACATTTAACCTTAAATATATGTTAAGGTAGCACATTGAGAACATGCCCGGCATGAAAGAGTTTACAATCAATAACAAAATTCTGACTAAATCTAGTTGAAAAGAAAAAATTTGATAGGACATCCCAACCATATCATTCGTAGGACACAAATATGCATGGGACCTATATTTTGGACTCACCCGACCCTTGTTACTTCATTCCAACCAATGTGGCGGTATTAACGAAGTTTCTCTCCTAATTGAAAATGAAATCCTTTGGACCAATTTCATTTCACTTATCCCTATCTCAACAACTTATACAAATTAAAGACTTGAGCTTTGACATTTCTAGGTTTTGGAGAGAGAGAGAGAGAGAACCTGGTCCCCGCACACATTTCTGACCGTTTTAGCCTCCTCGTCCATTGGCTGGTCAAGCTGCTTATCCAAATCCCAGACCCCACCTTTTTTCTCAGGGTCTCCATTGTCAGACATTGTTTGCAGTGATCTGCAACTCACTGATTCAAATGGGTTCCTCTTCTCCTGCTCAAATTTCACCTTTCCAGCAACATTTTTTCAATTTCTTCACCAATTTTTTTTTTCCTCTTTGTTTTTCTTGTTGTTTTCTTCTGGTACCCCAGAATTTGCTTGGTGCTTGGGACAACAGTTTGTGGAGGATTAGGGGCAGGAATTTGTACTCATCTCATGTTTTTCGGGAGGGCAATGCAATAGGATGGCTTGCTGTCTCGCCTATTTATAGATTTTGCATTGCTTACATGTAATGATGTAACACTCGTGAAATAAAACGAAATATGTACAAGACAAGACCTTTGGAGAAAATTCAGTGACACGATGCAACAAGCACGTAACTTTGCCATGCAATGCAACGAGTTTGTCGCTCAGTTTGTTAAGAAAATTCAACTTTTTTTCTTAATGTTCGGAGTTCAAAACATCAATTGTATTATGACAATAAAAAAAAAACTAGGCATTTGACACGCTTTTTGTTAAAAAAAAATACTCCTTTCGAATTGTTTTCTTATAAACAAAAAAAAATTACCAAGAAGATTCTCGACCAATGTCAAATACCAGAATTTATATTTCCCGTGTCAAAGCTATAAACAAGTACCAAGTTTAACAAGACTAGCAAAAAACAGATACAAATTTTTTTTTTGTGCAACATTCTGTACTGTTTAACTTCATTCCTAATATTATACTACGTAATTGCAGTTGCAATAATAAAAAAATTACACGTAGAAAATCTGTCCAACATTCAGTAGACTCTCATGAGGAACATTGAAGATCACACTATTCTCCCTGCAAATTTTCCTGAGAAATGCATAAATGTAATCAACAGCTATCTTTTTGTAAAACCTGGAATCCCTCCTTGCTCTCACTACTGTATTCCCAAGTATATGCACCACCCCGGAGTCTCGACACTCATTCAAAAACTCTAGCTCATCAATATCATTCTGGCTGCTCATCTGCCCGGATGAACTCACGGTAATGTTCACGTGCGATGGAGATTTAGCCGGCACAATTGAGTCCACTGATGAGATACTGAGGTCTACTGTAGATGTGATCGTGTTGCCATTATTAATTAAGAGGCCGTCCCTTGACCTCTCAGTTTGCTGGCCATAGATGCTGTACTCGTCTGAGTCTGAACACCCTTCCATCATGGAATCGAGCCGGACAAACAAGAAAAGGTTTTCAAAGAGCTTCTTCTCAAAGTCATCATCCTTCTTGTGGAGGTCTTTATAGCCGTATCTTGCAACACAACGAAACATGTGGAAGTTCTTGGGGCCAATCCGCTTGACGAGGAATCTTTCTTCTTCTGGCACGGTGTATACAGGGAGGTACTTCACACAGACAAGGACAACAACCTGGTGGATTGCGGGCAGGTTGGTGATGAAGTGGGAAAAGATGTGGGGCACCCCGCTTGCAAGCTCGGTGTACACAAGTCCTATCCCAGGGACCCGGACCAGTCCTAAACTGGGGCCAAGCCCAAGAAGCCATGCCATTGAAACCTTACTGTGCATCTCAAACTCATAACGTTTCAACGTACCATAATGCCAAACATACATGATGAGAAGAAAAGCAGCTGCAATCACAAGAGGTACCCATCCACCTTGATCAACCTTGAAGAGTACAGCAGAAAAGTAAGTGCATTCCACAAGCAGTGACAAGCCAGTGAATATCGCGACAAGAATCCAGTGGCAGCGCCACACTAATATCATGATTAGAGTCATAAGCAATGTAGTTGCCAGCATGACTACTACAACTGCCGTCCCTGTTGCAACAAAAAATATAACTCAATTGAGTGCAAGCTTATTTTGGAAGGATGAGCTTATACTAGTATAAAATTCGTCAAAAATTAACTTCACAACAGAAGGTCAGTAACTATTTCTCTACATTGTCTCAAAATAGTTCACCAACTCCCTACTACTTCACCTCCTAGTTTATCTCAAATACTTCTCCCGTCTCTCATTTTATTTGAAGTTTTCAACCATTTTTTTTTTTAAAAGAAGTTTTTGCAATTACATTGCTTGTTCTCCGAGTCCAGTTTCACAAAGTAGAGAATATGGCTTACGTAAGCTTCACTAGATTTAGCAGAGGATGAACTTACCATAAGCATTTCCAATTTGGCTTTGATTTTTGAACCCCGCAGTCACAGCAATGCAAAGAATCATAAGGATCCAATTAATATCTGGAATATATATTTGGCCGAGGAACTTCTTTGATGTATGTACAACTTTGACTCTAGGAAAACAGCCAAGTGCAAGAGCCTGCTTGATTATTGAAAAAGTTGCTGATATTGTCGCTTGACTCGCAACTATAGCAGCTAAGGTCGCAACAATGAAGACTGGCCAGTATATTTTTTCTGCAGTAAGAGAAACAGTAAGCATCTTTGGAACAACACACTGCCTACTTATAAGACACTATATAACTCGTTTCCCGCTTTTTCTTAGATTACGTTAGAGATCGAATAGAGAAATGGGGCAGTGAAAATTCTATACAAAAAATATTAAATACCCACTCCAAAGACTATGAAATGAATTTTGTGTCGTATCACTCTAATGATTGTGGAATCTAAAGGTCTTTGCCTAAGCCGATCAAAGACAGAATATATGGAGTGCAAGTTCAGTGCAAATGGAGGCCAAAATGAGTTAGGGGTGAGGATCGGAGATCATGAAGTACCAAAGAGCGACCGCTTTCGCTACCTAGGATCTATCTTGCAAAAGAACGGAGAATTAGATGGAGACCTCAACCATATAATACAAGCTGGATGGATGAAGTGGAAGAGTGCATCCGGCTTGTTGTGTGACCGCCGTATGCCACTGAAGCTCAAGGGAAAATTTTATAGGACGGCAATAAGGCCAGCGATGCTGTATGGCACGGAATGTTAGGCGGTGAAGCATCAATACGTACATAAAATGGGTGTAGCAGAGATGAGGATGCTTCGTTAGATGTGTGGATACACAAGAAAGGATAAGATTAGGAATGAGGATATCCGAGGTAAAGTAAGAGTAGCCGAAATTGAAGGAAAGATGAGAGAAAATCGGTTATGGTGGTTTGAATATGTGCAAAGAATGCCTATTGACGCTCCGGTTAGAAAATGCGACTACAGGACAGAGGTTCAGGGCCGAAAGGGTAGAGGAAGACCTAGGAAAATTTTGCAAGAGACTCTAAGAAAAGACTTAGAGTACTTGGATCTAACAGAGGACATGACACAGAACCGAGCGCAATGGTGTTCTAGAATTCATATAGCCAACCCCACTTAGTGGGAAAATGCTTTGTTGTTGTTGTTGTATCATTCTAATGATTTTCTTTAAAGCAATCACATTAGTTTTGATCGAGTAATCTCTCAAAAAGAAAAGTGGGGACTTATAGCTCGACTGGTAGAGAATATTTAGTATTTATCCTAACACCCAAAGTTGAAGATTGAGTGTGCCCATCCCCCTTTGACCTCCAATATTAAAAAAAAAAAAAAAAAAAAAAAAAAAAGACCCAACAAGAAAGATACTGAAGAGTGAAGAGCATGTTCTTTAAATTCTATCAAAAATTATATTTTAAAATGTTATGCCTCAATTTCGAGAAAATCGTTTATGTGTACTACCATTTACGACATGGGCATCCTTTAAATGCAAAATAAAGATTAGAACAAACCTGGAATAGAACGATAAAATGCTTGAAGCAGGATTTCGTCTGAATGATTTTTCACAAGGAAGGCAGCCTGTCCGCAATAGGCTAAAAGAAGGCAAGGAAACACGACTGTAGTAAACGCAATCTGTACAGCTGAAACTGGAAAATGGGCAAGGTCGGCAAAGAGTGCTTCTGTCCCTGTAATCATTCAGACTTTGCCATCAGAATCCAACATAGCAGATGTGCTAAGAGTTCGGTGAAACTTAAAGAGTTGGAAAGTGAAATTAGGATACTTAAAACTTTACCTGTTATGCTAAGCATAATACCCCCAAGGGAAATCCAACCCTCTCTCCCGTTCCTTTTAAAATACCGATATATATACACAGGGGAAAAAGCTCTCAAAACAGTACTATCATGTTTCCAGATGTTGAATATGCCAATACCTCCAATTAAGAGAAACCAAAGCAGCACAATGGGAGCAAACAGCCAACCAACTTTATCAGTACCATAGTGCTGCATGCTAAACAGACCTACTAATATTACAACAGCAACGAGTATGACATAATCTGTACCACAACAGAGAAAGTATAAGTTAAGAAATAGTTCACAGTAGTGACTGAGAAAGATGCAAAGGCAGCAATAATAAAAAATTTAAAAAAAAAAAACAAACTTTAGCTCCAAGGAATTTACGGGTACCATTTTTCATGCCAGGGCTGCTTACTTTGATCCCACCAGCAGCTGATAAAACTGCCAAAAGCAAAGCATAGTTAGTCATTTTCTAATGGACCTGAGGAAAATAACACAATTTTAACTTAAAATTGTATTGATGTGTCACTGTTTGATCAAATTAAGTAGCAAAAAAGACAACTCCGTGTTGTTTGGGAAAGATAACTAACGTAGCCAACCACAATACTTGGGAATGATGGATGAGTCGAGACAAAAGAAAATGCAATACAGTTGTACTTTCCTAATTGTGTAAATTAAGTTGAGTAGGTGTGTTAAGGTAAACAGTTAAACGAGTAGAAAATCTTAAGCAGAGAATTTTTTCCCATTTCAATCTTTTTCTGCTTCCAAAATCAAGAGAATAACATAGAAGATGTTGATCAATTATGTGGTGCCTAAATCTATGGATAAAATACTCCTCTATCATGTCCGGTAGTACTAAGTACAGGATTATGTGACGTTAACCAACTTCCACTTATTTCAATCCATGAAACCAGAATTTTATTTTTTCAATTAAACCCGCAAGCCAGATACCCAGACTAATGGAATTCACTCTTTTGAGAACGGAGAAGATATTGACTCTTTAAAATGAGGACACTGATGGATTACTAAGGAAATCATTGAAGTACTTAGAGAAACATGGAAAACATAAGACTCTGTAAGCATGCAGCACATCAGTAAATCATTTCCTGATACACTGTCATGTGATTTGTCGGTCTTTGTGATTTGTTATTTATGGATCATGGGTGCTTCCGAGAACATTCTTCAGCACTTGCTTCTTGGCATGGTCCTTAAATATGATGAGGAAACTAATTTTCTGTTTGGAAATGTATGCTAGATCTTTCCTCACCCCTAGAACCCATTATCTACTTCTAGCTTTCCTCCGTTTCTAGATTACCCCTTGTGCATATACTTCTTATGCACATCGGTTGTGCACCATTGGGCCTCTCCTTAATTAAA